GAAAATGTTAAGAAAGGATTTGCTCTCACTGACAGTGTCGAACCTTGGGAGACGAAAATGGTTTGACAACAGCAAAAATAGCAAGTAGAAAAGGAAGAAGGAGCCAGCAGCACCTAATGAGCTTTACATAAATATATGCAGAGGCAATTAAGCAATGTTAATTACTATGACAGCAGTTAATTGAATATAATTAGATATTTTAAGCCACTGAATAAAGCACAGTTAAGATTAATTTTATTGAGATTAATTGTAAATAAGGATAGATTAGCTCTGTGTTTTGACAGGCATAAAAAGTAGTTCTGCAAATTAAGCAGGAGCATGGCCACCAGTCCAAAAATCATATATTATTTTAATGTCACACCTCAGAATCATCTCCTCAATAAACATGACTTTTCAAACCCAAACAGACAGGAATCTTGAAGAAAAACAAACAGCTTGCAGAGATTAAAGAGCCTTTTGTCCTTTTTCATGTGCATTTCTTTTAACAGACTAAATTAAGCGAGTCTGGTGTACGTTTTTGAGGAAGGAACATTTCACACTGAATGGAAAAAATGTTCTATCACATATGAAATTCGTGCAGCTGTGCGGAACTTGGTCCAGATGGTTTTAGACTATAAAACACCACCAAATGATAGACAGTAGGCCTTCCCAAGATCATGCGATAAAGTCACAATCTTTTATTTTGACCTCCTAAATCTCCCCTTTCGTATGATTTCCAACCAAATTACATCTTTTCTTTCACAATTGTGTCACCAAGAGGGTTACAAGAAGCACTGTGCCTACTGAGTGCTGGAAATCAATGTAAAAGGAATGGAAGGCCTCCTTAGGCACACAGCAGCTAAGTCACTCCGCCACAAATGCAATGATAGCTATGACAACACCCTATGCAGATGACAACTCTTGAGTATGACTCTGACAAACAATGGTGTCTCGAAATATTTCTTAGGAAAATACTGCTAAGTGAAAATCCCTCCCAAATACTTTCACACCCAGCTAATCCATGTCTGTCTTTAAGAAAATGAGCACAGTCCTCAAGAATGCTGAACAAATCACTAATAAGAAAGGCACTTCAATTGATTTTGAAATAAATCAATAGGTGATTAACATAATATTTTTAAAGCGGCAGTATGTATACATACATGTATGTGTGTAACAGAAACATATATATGATGTTTCCGATACCTCGTAGCTCTTAATAGAACCGGGGCTTTATGCCACTGAGTTGCTTCACAACTTCTTTAGGGTGTCCTTAGTCTTTATAACGAAAATCCTAAAATGGTCTGTGAAACAAGACTAGGACAAGCCATTCTGCAGTGAAAGATTTTAAATCATCCAGCCTCTTCTAATAGACTTGAGACTTATTGAGGTAGAAACCATAAAAAATGAAGAAGGGAAATTTAATCCCTGAAATATTGATTTGCACATTAATATCATATAGGCAGAGGGCAATTTGGCTTCGTGGAAATGACACATTGTCGACCCTTGGTGAAGTCAAAGCCAATCTAACTGCTGAACATGTCTGAATCTCAAGAGTTATTAAGGGCCTCCCTTCTTGCCTTTATGACTTTTCTTCAGCCTACCAATGCAATCTTAAATGTATTATCTTTAAGAAATAATTGTAAAACCTCAGGGGTTTTCCAGTTAATGGAAGGGAGGCCAAACCACATCAGATTCTGAAATGCAACATTAAACCCTTGCAATCAACAAAAGCACCTCAATTCTCATCCATCCAGGGCAGGATCTAATATTGTTATTAAAGATAATCAAATTTCATTGTGTAAATTTAGGTCCATGGTCAGAATGGAAGTAGTAAATTCTGCAATATTAAACAGCGATTTTCTCAGCCTGCTGTATGTTTTCCTTGCTGGTGCAGCATCTTTTCAAATAATTCTACTAGCTCCAAATTAACCAACAGACTTGAGCTCATCTGCTAAAAATGCCAAAAGATGACAACAGAGCTGAACAGGTTTCCTTCAGTTTTAACTTTAAGTGGCAACTTTCACTTCCTAGACCCAGAGTCCATTCTCCCTGTCTGACCCCACAGTTGGGGCTGTGGCTTTGACTTACACAGCTGGTTCACCTGACCTTTCTTTGTTCCTTAGGTACATTTCACTTTTCAGATTTATGGTATTTGCCCCATATTTCATTGACTATATCTTCATTGCCATAAAATGAAAACACTTCAATATCAGCTTACTTTTTTAAATCCAAAAGCAACCAGCCACTGAATAAACACACTATGATGCTCTCTCCCCAGTTTCTGCCATAAATATTAAAACCGTTTTTAAAATAACTGTATAAACCTTATGATCCCCACACTGAAGCCAGGTGTGAGAGGTTAAAACAGCTGGCTAGCCATCTTTTATTTTTGTGTGCCTTCCTGCTGATTGAAACCACAAACGTTGAAAACTATCAAATATTCCCTTAAGGATTTTTTTTTTTTTTAAGAAGAGGAAGGAAAGAGGAAAACCTTCATTTTCTTCAGTATGCTGCTCCGTGGAGAAGAAAAACTCTAAAACACAATCAGTTACAGAAGTAGTGAAATAATCGCGAATATCTCCTTTCTGTTGCATCTAAACCATCATTTCCAACAGCTAAGCACAATTGTTTTTATTCTTCAGTTAGAAAAGAGAAAAGAGAAATAAAAGGAAGGAAAGGAAGAAAGTCGGAGCCTGCTCTGTCAGCTTCGCCAGTAAATATAAAGTAAAACAAGTGTTGATGGCACCGATAGTGTTACATACCCGGGCTGTGTTTTTGCATTGCTCTCAATGGAAGCGATCGATGCCCGTGTCACTGTCGCGTCCCAATCGCAGCCAAGTCTCAGCCTTAATCTAAGCAACACCCGAAAAGGCAGCGGCAGCCGCAGCCTCTCCCTGACTCTTCCATCCATCCACCCAACTAAAAATATAATACTACATATGAGCTTTAAGCACTCCACGTTTATAGGGATCAAGCCACTGGAAATCCAGGAGAACACAATAAAAAAAAAAAAAACCTTCTGTCTCTTGTCTCTCTGCTTCCTCTCTCTTCCTCTCTCCTCTCTCTGCTCTCTCTGTCTCTCCTTTTGCCATCTACATGATCCTTGATTAAACATGGAACAGAGTTAATAAAAAAGGGGGGGGGGAAGGACTCAAGGAGAGGAAATGCAACTGTCAGAAATCGGGACCGCCAGATTTCCTGGTGAACCTGCCTGTGTCTGAGTCAGTGTCAATCCACCATCTTCCGCCAGTGAACTTGTCTTTGGGTTTTTGTTTGGTTGGGGGGGGGGGGGGGTTGCTGTTGTGTGTGTGTGTGCTTTCTTTTGGAAGGGGGAGGGGAAGGCAAGGTGGGGGCTGGCGGTGGGGGGTGCAGGGAGAACGTGCGTGAGTCTGTGTTGAGTGTGTGTGTGTGTGTGTGTGTGTGTGTGTGTGTGTGTGTGTGTGCAGGGGTCGGCGTGGGGGGGTCCGTGTGCGCGATCTGAACCTATGGTACCTACAAGGAGGGTGTCTCACCGAACGGTAGCTAAGACCTCACCGGAACCGCGCGGAAGTGAGGAGTCGCGGCCAAAGGCGGCCGCCGGAGCCCGGTCTCCGGGCCGGACCCCAGCCCCAGCGCAGACAGGAGCCCCCCGCCCGGATCGCAGGTAACAAAGAAATACCCGCCAGCGCACCGGCTTCTGCGGGGTGGGGGCCAGGGTGGGGAGCCCTCCGTAACTTGGGCATCGGTGGAGAAAGTTTATACGATCCAGGAGAAATTTTATTATTTTTTTTCCGATAGACAAGAGCAGAAAGAATGGGGGTGGGGGAGGGAGACAGAAGTAGAGGGAAGGCGAGACCCGACGCGTTCCAGCCCCTGTGCCTCGCGCGGCTCCCGGCCGGAAGGCGCACTGGATGCCGGAGAGGCGAAGGCGGTGAAGTTCGTTCGCAGACCTGGAACCCCTTTGGGGGGCCCGGGGAAGAAATCAGTTCTCCCCCCAGCCAGAGTCCCCCCACCCCCATCCCCAACACACACAGACACACACGCCTTGCCCTCTGCCAAAAAGAAAGGGGAAGATTCAGGACCCTGAGCCGCGGGCACCTATGCTCGGTCTAACGCGCACCCGGCAGCCCCAGAGCCCGCGAGCGGCGGCCGCGTCCCGGTGGGTCCCTGGCCCGGAGGCCCGGCGATCCCGCCTCCTAACGGACCTGCGTTCCGTGCGCCGGCGCCCAGTCCGCCCGCCGCCCGCCCGCTCGCAGGCAGCAGCCCCGGGCCGTGCCCGCCGCCGCCGCCCGGCGCGGTGTCTCCCGGCCGCCCCGGCCCGGCCCGGCCCCGGCCTCCGCCAGCCCCCGCCCAGGGCGCGCGGACCCCGGGCCTCCGCCGCGCGGGCGCTGGCTCCCTTCGCGGCGCTCGAGCCAGGCAGGGGGGTGGTGGCAGGAGGAAGCAATCCGGCCCGAATAGGGCGTGGGGGGCGCGGGGAGAGGGGCTCCGACCCCGCCGCCCCACGGCCAAACTTTGGGAGGACGGGTGCGCAGGAAGAGGCATGGCGACCGGGGCGCGGGGCGAGCGGGGACCCCCGGCAGCCGCTGCGCCGCCGCGAGCTGACAGCCTCCCGCGCCGCCAGGAAGCCCGGGCTCGCGGCGCAGACAGGACCCGAAAACACAGGAAAAAGGACAGACAGCCAACTGCTCGGCCGAACGCGGGGATCCGCCACTTCATCCAAAAGTTAAATCCCGAAAAACGTCGCCCCCCAAAGAAAGTGGGGAATCAGGCCCCTCCGGGTCCCCTCCCTCCCTCCGCGGAGCCAGTCCTCCAGCCAAAAAAAAGGGGGAAAGAGAGAGAAAAAGGGGGGCAGAGCGGAAGGGATGGTCGGGATGCGGGGACGTGAGCGGGAGCGAGCGAGCCGGGGGCAGAGGGAGAGGCGGAGAGGGAGAGAGAGAGCGAGCGAAATATCAGAGATTGTGCAAGATCAGGCTGGAAAGATAATCGATACTCGACCTAAATTTAACACAAACTACTCAATAAAAGTTAAAGAAAAAACTTACTTTCCATTTCCCCTGCAGTTCCTACGCGATCTTCGCCTCTTTTTTTGTTTTGCTTTTATTTTACTTACAGCTGATCACATCCAAGTAAAACGAGAGGGCTCATTAAAAAAAAAAATAAAAAATAAAAAAATAAAAAAATAATCCTCGAACTTTATTGGGTGAAAATAAAAAACGCTGGAGCAGAAAGTGGGGGGCATGGAGCGGTCCTCGGGGGTCCGGGAGGAGTTAAAGCATGTGCCCGCCGCGGTCTCGCTGTTTGGTTGTGAAGGGGTTGGGAAAAGGAGGAAAGGAAATGAAAATCCGATATGTCTTTATTCTGCTAATTATTATCGTTTTAGCCCTGTTTAAAAAAATGGCTGATTAAGTTGAGTGCGCATGTCTTTGTGTGTCTATTCCCGATATGCACTCTGGGAATGAGAGAGGAGAGCGAGGGAGAGGGAGAGGGAGAGGGGGGAGAGAGAGGTGTAATTAGTGAGGTGATCAACATTCCCCAGACTGCAAATGACGCGCAGCCCGGGCTCGGAGCAGCCGGGAGCCTCGCGGCATCCAGGGCTCGGAGCGCGGCGGCGGGAGCCCGGGACTCGGCGACCGCGGGGAGGGCAGGGACGGGGACCTCGGGGCTCGCACCCCACGCGCCCCTGCGCGCGACTCCCAAACTTCATTAGACACACACACACACACACACACACACACACACACACATACATACACACACACACACTCAGCGAGGGGGGGGGGGTGTCAAAGCTAAACACCGCCAAAGCACTGCCCTTTAACCACTCGATTTTTTTTTTCCTTTTTAATTTTAATGAGCAAAGTCATTATTAGCGGACCAGAGATTTGTTTACTAGGGAGCTTTCAGCAGAAATGGGAGTTAGGGCAATGGAGAGGTTTGCTCTGCCTAGTGGATTCAGCTGTGCGCGAGAACGCACGCTAATGGCGAAGAGCGGGGCCTGGACAGATATGCAGATGTATGTAAATCCAGGGTGCCTGGCGGTGTGCAGAGCCGGCCCTGCCCAGCCGATTTCACAGGAGGAATGGCACTCCGCATCTGTAGGCATGCTCTGTAAAGGGCTATCTTTCGCTTGCACACGCAGGGGAGACAAACCCAGGGCAGGGAAGATGGAAGCGGTTAGTTTAGTCAAAGTAAACTTTCTAATGAGAAGAAGTGATGATGGCAAGGGTGAGAGAGGGGGGACGGTTCTAACCTTTACGGAATATTTTTGAATATTTTATCAGCATTGCATAAGTTCAATGTAATGGCTTTAAGAAGACTTAGGAAAAAAACCTTTCATCTTGCCAGTCTGTTGAATTATCTTTCTTGAAGCACATTATGATGAATTTAAAAATCCCACTACAGATCTCATTAGAATGAAATATACTTGGTATTTTCTGGTGCAAAATTTAAGGTGGCTGATTCTCATTTGAAAATCTAATTATCTCTTCCCAATATTACAGATGTGAATATGAGTGACACTTTCATTAAAAGATAATTAACTAAAACTAGGAATAGACATACTTTTAAATACCCCCTGACTATATATATATATATATATATATATATATATATATATATATATATATATATTCATATTCAGATAGCATCTTGATACACTGCTACACCACAGGTCACAAGGAGACACCACCTATGCAATATTTCAAAAATAGAAATTCTACAGAGAAGGTGAGAGGAACAAATCAAACAAGCTAAAAACAGGAAATACTTGCAATGTCCAGCTTCCTGGACAGGTGAGGCTTCAGCTGCTCTGGGGTTGACAGGCCTTTGAAGTTCTGGTTCGCCAGGATCTGCTTCAAAACCTTGTCTTAGGCCTTAAGCACCAAATCTACCAAATACCACCAGAAAGGTTTATCACACAAGCACTAGGGACAACAGAGGCTGCAAACCTGCACCCTTCTGGCCTGAAACCCTGCGTGATCAGGGAACATGTGGAAAATCCTAGGACTGATGCAAATGGGATTAACCCCCCCCCCCACCCCCAAATGCACCTGGAGGATAAAAGCAGAGTCCTGGGTAGAGCAAACCCAGACCCAGGTCAAGAAAGCTGGTTGCCTGTGGCAGCTGGTTCAGGTGCCAATGCATGTCCAGAGGCTGGCAGTGGGGAATAAAACCCAGACATGGTCTTTATTAAGAGAAAATAGCAGACCTCCACCTTAGGATCTGGAGTCTGTGGATGTACCAGCGCCTTAGAACCAGGGCTACTAAACGTTAGCAGAAAGCGAAGTAGTCGTCTCCAAAGACTCCATTCCATTTCAGATGTGCTGGGAAGAAATCTGCTCAAACTGGACAGCTTTCTAAGATTTTAAGTTACTTTGTTTACGGCCCCACTTTTACACTGTATCACCCACCATGTGTCGCAGCGTCTGATTGCCTCTCACTGGGCTTCATCCATGTGCCTTCAGAAACATACATGTCCACGAGGGTAAAATTTAAATTCTCTGTAACTTGCAAGTGAAGAAGGTGTTTATGTAGCGTTACTGTTTACTGAAAAACACCCCAGAGAGCAAAAAAATTCTGGCTTAGAAAAAAAAAAACACACACAACTATTTGAGGTGTGTGTATGGGGAAGGGATGGGGGGCGGGGGGCTTTTAAAAGAGCCGGAGGGGAAATGAAGGCAGGGAAACTTTCAGGTTCAAATCAGAAAAGATCAAGCCCTTTGCGGGCGAGGGCTCCATGTACAAGCTCACTGATGGAAAAACCATTTCCTGCGATTTCAGACGGGCAAATGCGTGTGATGAAGGAAACACCTGAGAACAATAAGTCTGTTTCAGGCTCAGGTGAAGAAAGGGGTCTATTTCTGGCAGGGAAGAAGAGGGAAATGATGATCATTTCGTTTTCAAGTTCTCCTTTATTTCTTTTGCCTCTTTCTCCCTGAAACATCATCAATAACATTACTGTCATTAACGTCAAAACACCAAACGTCAAATCAGGAAAACCATTTAAAAAATTTGGTGGCTATTTTTTCTCCTCTTCACCCCCACCCCCCTCTCTTGAAAAATACGGCCTGTGTGTGTGTGTGTGTGTGTGTGTGTGGTGGGGGGCAGCGGTTATTGAATTCCGAGTAAGAAAACAAAAGGCAGGAGGATTTGTAAGTGGGGGCGCCCACTTTTGCAATCCCTTCTGCTAGCAAGTATTCCCCTCCTCGCGTATCTGTGTTTTCTTTTTCATCATCTCTTTCTGCTCCTCTTTTCCCTCTTTCCGAAGAAGAGAAGCCAGGGTGAGGGTCAGGGTTAATGGGCTGAGCGGAAGGGGCAGAGGAGGAATAACCCCGAGTCAAGAGTTTCCTCTGGGGCCCGGCCTGGGTGCGCGCCCGCGCGGGAGGGAGCCGGGCCGGGCAGGGCGGCGCGGGCTGGGCCCGGAGGCGCGGAGCGCGGCGCCGTGGGCAGGGGCGCGGCGAGGCGGGCGAGCCCGAGCCCGGCCCGCGGGCTGCCCCGGGGCACGGGCGCGATCCGCGCGGCCTGACCGGGCTGCACCGCGGGCCCTCGCTCCGGGAAACCCAGCTGCTGCTCTCGGGTCCCGGCGGACCTCTGGCCGTCCACCTCTGACCCCGTCCCTCCTCCCAACCCCGCAGTCCCTAAACTCTGCGCGAACCCGCCGCCGCCCTCCCGGGACGCTGGGCTACTTTTTATTTCAAAGCGAAACGAGCCGAGGCGTCCCTGCGGCCCCGAGAACTTTCCGCAGACCCTCTCCTGCCCTTCCCGGGGCTGCCCCGGCCGAGCCGAGCCCCCTCCGGAGCTCTCGGACCCTGCCCCGAGCGCCGAGCGAGGCGAGAACCCAGAAGGGACACCAGGTGGTTAGGTGTTGAGTGTTGGGAGCAAGAAGTAATTAACATTGAGACAAAAGGTAATTTCCACTTCCAGACTTTCCCCCGGCGTGTGTGAGTTCCCACATCTATGCCGCGGACACTCGGGGCTTGGCAGTGGGTTTGCTGAGCCTCCAGCTGTCCGTCCCGCTCCCCCATTCACACAGGACACCCCCGGCCCCTGTCCCCACGTGCCGCCAGCTCCAGCTCCGCCCCAGCCCGAGGGGAAAGGGCCCCAGTCCCCGGACGGTGCTCCCGGGGCTGCAGCTGTGCACAGGGGAGGGGGCGGCACAGTCTCAGCGTGGGGCACCCTCACATCACCCAGACGCGTCCCGTCCAGCCGCCCGCCCTTCCCTGTGCGTGTGCTGGGTCTTCCCCGCCCGGGGGCTACTTCACAGTCACTCAGTTAACTAACATTCGTGTTGAACTCTCCGCTCCTTTCCAAAACACACTTCCGCCTGGTACCGGGGTCTGTCGTTTCGTGTGAGTGGGGAGGGGAACTGTGGGGGGGCATGGGTGCCTGTAAGGGGGAGACGTGAAGTTGACAGTGAATCGGGAAGAGCAGGGCTTCTTTGGGGAGGCGTCGCCAACACATTATATTTACAATGAAATAATTCAAGAAGCCGTCTGGGGGAGAGAGGCAGATCTCATTACTATGAAAAAAAAAAAAAGGTACGTTTTCCTGAGAACTAAAAGTGGGTATTTAAAATGTGAGGACACTCACACTGACGGTGAGAGTCAACTAGATGAGATGACATTCAGGAAGGAAAGACATTTTGAGTGTGTGTGTGTGTGTGTGTGTGTGTGTGTGTGTGTGTGCAGTGTTTGTGGGCAGTCAGACCCGCCGTTCGCGAGCTCCCTCCCCTCCCCCAACCTGGCTCTTATCTTCTTTGTGGTCTTTTTTTTTTTTAATCATAAAAATGTCCCCCTCCTCCTCCCGGGTCTCTATTTCTGTACTTCCATATCCCTGTATACGTCTCTTCCCACAGCCCATTTATTTGCTTTAACTTCAGACTAAGTCGGTTTTACCGTTTTGGTTTTTTTCCTGGAGGTCTGACCTGTTTTTATGTGTGTGTTGGGGGGTGGGGTAGTCATTATGTGAAGTTAGACACAGGTAAGGTGAGGAAGGGGAGGGAGGAGTCCTGGAGGGTCTGAGGAGGGAGCTGGGGAGGGGCGGAGGGCCGGGAAGCGGGAGAGAGGAGTCAGACGCCCTCTGGCCTTTCAGAGGTCAGGGCTCAGGCGGCGCTTTGACCTCCTTTCCCTCCGGGCAGCCAGCCCAGTGTTTATAAACAAAGTCAAGCAGGACTGTTCACAAGCACTCCGCAGCTCGTATGCAAATTAATGGGGACTCCGGATCGCCACTGGCCTCCCCCCACCACACACACACACACACAACACACAGACACACACATTCGCACCAGCCAAACCCAGGGTCCAAAGCACACCCTTCTCAAAAGACAAGGAGATATTTCCAGCAAGAGTATCCTACAAACATTTCGCATTTCGTCTAGGGAAGAGCTCTAAGAGACAACCATGCAGATGGGAAAAGACAGACAATTGGGGTTTGGGAGT